TGCGTTGTCCCCCCCCCCCCCCCCCCCAATGAAAACATAAACTCTGCAGATGCCAAACAGTAAGTCCCTGAATTTGGAAAAGGTTTCCTCTTAACTGTTCGTATTTGGGCAGCTAGGTGTGTTCAGACACAGGGTGCCTCTAGAGTTCCAGCAGTAAGAAGGAACCTGTCCTTCAGGACATGAGACACAAATCTGTATTTTTTCTTCAGCTCCACCTTTGAGAAACTTGGTAACAATCTCTATTTCGGTCATCTCAGAAACTTTCAAGCAGGTTTTGTTTCCTAAGCCTTTTAGTACATACCTGTATTTTGTTTTGAAGCATGAAGTATTTGAGTGCATTTTTTAGAATCTTCACTACATGAGGACACTCAAAAACCAGAGAACCCATTCTTAACCATCTTGAGCAAAGCACTCGAGATCACAAGATAGACATGTTTCTCAACCACAAAGATACAGGAAGACGTTAAAGATGTTAAGCAGTCAATCTGAACTGAAAATATTTGATTCACTTTTCGTGTTTTTAAATGCAAAAACTTCAACTGTTGCTATTAAAAAAAAAAACTAATCAAAGTATTTCAAAGGGTGGTCAAATACTAGAACTCAACAGCCAATGCTTTACAAAGATCTACAGATGAACGATAGCTTTTTTCCCTCCAAAACAACAATATTGATTGTTCTTTCATAACTTTTATTTTTTTAAGGCCTTCCAATTTAGTAATTGCTCATGATGTCTTCTTTCTGACACTCCACAAAGATATGCAGATGTTCATACTAAAAATTTGCTGTTTCAAAGTTTCTTCCATAAATTTGCAGAGAAAACTCCCCACAATACAATATATATGTATTTTAAAATGTTCTTTCCCAGGGTGCTGTAGGTAGTCTTATAAAATGCTATCTATATCACACAGAATGGTCCACGGTAATTGAACAGAAATCCCTACAACCTGCCTCCAGCGAGTCGCACAAACAGTCAGGTATGGTTCTAAGAATTTACCTGCAAAGCATCCATTTCAAGAAACTGAAAAAATGGCAGTTTTCAGAACAATTTACAGTTTTTCAACGAAAACCCCATTACATTACGTAATTTAACATTTGACAAAGTAGAGCTCAACGTGTAATTACCATTGCTAAGCAAAACAGGAATTGCTCACTTACATGAGGTGTTAAACTCTTTATGGCATTTGTCTAAAAACTGTCCAAGTTTTGGGACCACCCAGCACGGCCTATTTTCCATCTGCTTTGCAATACACCAGAAGTCAGTTTCATTTTCCCTGTGGTATTACATGGGTTCTAATTTAATTGCTACATACAAAACTTTCAGACTTCAGTATTTCATTTCAGTCAATCCAAAAAGGAACTTGCAAACTGTATTTTATAATCAGAATTTTTCCTCATTACCAATGGCAGAAAGACCTAAAGTGTATTTCACAGTCAATTGCTTAAATAAAACTGAGCTTAAGCAGTAAGATTACGGAGCTCCTTCAGACCGAACATACATACTTCCTCAAAAAACAGTAAAATTATTACTTACTTGTTCATCAAATGGAAGTGCAATTGTTAATGCTAACAGCAGAAAGAGAGACAAAATATCGGAGGTGAAGACTGGCCTGGGGCTTATTTATTCTGCTAAATCCAGCACACACTTTATCATGGGCTTTGAAATGCTGTCAGAAGCTATCACAGAGCGAACATGGGTTGTTCCTCCTCACTGTACCGGCAGCTCTTCTCAGCTACCCTTCTCTCCTGCCCGTGGTGCTTCATTTTGCTTTGGCACCTCAGAATGCAAAAATACATCGCGGTGGTTTCACTTCCTTGAAAAGAGAGCTGAAAGGAAATTGCACTGCTGAGCAAGCAGTGCAACACCAATAGCCGTTATTACTAACTGACAACTGGTACAATTAGCAGAAAGGGAGGGAGAAGAAAGGTCCTGTGACTCGAAAGGGCAAGGGACGTGTCAAAAAGAGGTTAAAACATTAACCTGGTATCTGCAAATGCAGATACTCGCATGCATGGCAGATGCCCGATTCATGGGTCACAGGGTGCTGGTGAGGGGCGGCCGCTGGCTGCACGCATCAGCAGCACCCCATTCCCAACGTGAGGACAGCCAAGCATCCCCTTTCAAACCTCTGACTACAGATTTCAGATGCGAGTACCTAAAAATAAGCCTGTAAATCCACCTTTACACAACTACTTAAGGCAGCCTCATTTTGTCAGGGCTGATTGTATGTAGTCACATTTTAAGAGTGATTACAGTAGCTGGCCAGGATATATAAATCTCTGACCACACCTATTGTATTGACAGGTCCCATCCTTGCACTTTAAACTGAAACAGTGCCATTTCTCTGGTGGCTTGCAGCACACCCAGAATTTGGGCATGTAATCCCACTAATTTTAAGCATCTCACAGTTTTTCCTCATGACTGCTCTTTATAGCTCCTATTTCTTTCCTGTGCAGTTTTACACGTCACTTTTGAAAAGCGTATCATCAAAAAATACCCCTGTGAAATCAGTGGAATGTCATTTTCTGTACAATCTATACAAATAAACATGATTATATTCAGTAGAGCCACACCTCCACAGACGAGAGCAGTCCAAAGGGAAAGGCTCTGAGAGGAAATCCTGCCTCCATTGCTTTGAAATTCAGAGGATCTTAGGGATTAATGGGGACATCTGCAAAGTCTTCTTATTTATGATTTAGAGGAGCAAACACGTTGCTAGAGACTGCCTCCTGTGAAAGCTGGGAGCTTATTAATTATGAAACTTCTTAATTTTTGCAACCAACAGTATATTGTTTAACATTAGTACTTTGTGTGTCAAAGTCAATAAATATTGGACATGTAGCATTCTGGATGTATTTTACCCAAAATATTTTACCTTATACATGTTTTCCTTAAAACTGTGGTGGAATTATAAATTTGCAGTGAAAATTTAGAACTGTGGGTTAATAAGGTCTTAGGAGACTGGTAAAAAAGTACAAGCAAGCTACTACTTATGGCTGTGATGCTGACTTTTCCCTGACGTGGAAGCTAGTACACCTCCCTCTGTACTGTGGCAAATGTCTATTACCAAACACCCTATTTCTCAACTCTATTTAAACTAAAAAAAAAAACCCACACAAAAAACCCCCCCCCCTTTCCCCCCGCCAAAAACTCCAATGTAGTATTTGGAAAAAAAAAAAAAAAGTTGAATCAAATGATTTCACTGCCTTAAATCAAGGCAGAATGTTTTTTCCACAAGATAAGTGATATTGAACCTACCATTGAATGTTGAGTGTATTCAATCTCATGTACATTGACAATGAATACTTGAGTCCCTGAGTATTTTTAAGCTTGTTGTAATAAAGAAGGACCATAAAAAAAGCATCCAGTAAAAACTTCCAGTGAACCATGTTAAATTCCATGAGCAAGTCAAGAGTTGAGCATGCTGACGTGAGTTGCATTTCTAGTGTATGTACTCAGTATGTTGATACAACAGTCCCAGCAGAAGAGAAAATGTGACTGTGAAGCCATTAATAACAACGCTGCTGTGTGAGACCCAGTTCTCATTTTAGTGATTGGCATACCATGTACTGCGCTAGTACCTGGCGAGTGCAAGGTCTAAAAATAACAGGGGGTTTGGGGCAAGGCACGAAGAACACTTACACAGGATTAGGAGGCAAGAGACAGTATGGACTGCGTGCTTCAGGCAGCATTTCAAAGACTGTATCACATAGCTTTGAGAAATGTGGCAACCGATTTCCTGCCAGGCATCCTGTGTGGACGAGTGTGTTTGCCTCTCTACAGACTGTGGGCGAGAGCTACAGCTAAAAGCCCATGCATGCCGTATGAATTACATGTTCAGTCAGACTCCCAGAGTGAAAGAGCACCATTTCCCTGGAGGGAGGCAAAATGAAATCAAGCAGGATTGACAGCACTACACTCTCCAAGTGTATGTGACCATGAGTCATGCACCTCCAAAATCATGAGATCGCCTAGATATCAAGGGATAAAAAAATTACTGAATTTTTACTTTTTCTTGTGCCTTCTGCTTTTTGGGTCTTTACAGGGCTACCCTTGTTTTCAGGAATGATAAAGGCCAGAAACATTAAAAAAAAATAAATACACTGAGGCGTATAAACATATGACTTCATGTATAAACACATGACTTCAGTAAGGTAAAGCTCCAATGGTGATAAACGGCAAGAGCTAGCATCAGTGAATGAACAAGTCCTGAAGTACAGAACAGCCAGAAATAGAGTCATAAACCTGTTACCAGGGCTGTAATAATTTTCACAATGTACTTATTATGTGACGATAAGATTAAAAAATGAGTGGTAGGACACAGACTATGAATTCTTCAGATATGAATAAGGTAAGCTGATTTTTCTAGCAGCCACCATGATTTATAGCTTCTTAATAACCATCAGAGCAAGTGAGTCATGGTTTCAAGGAACATTTTTTGGTGGTATGATTTTTTTTTATTATTTTTTTTTTTTTAAAACAGAAGCGTCAGTATTTTGATTCTTATCTAAGTGCTTCAAAGTTTCCTGGGTGAAAGGTGTGTAACAAACTTTTTAAGAGCACTGATAAAGTCCTTGCAATGTACAAATCCTTCCAAAAATCCAGCAGTCCCCAGATGGTCACTTCAGGATATTGGCCTGTCTCTGTGTTTGCAAGTGTTTGTTCACGTGTTGGCTTTTCAAAAGCTGATGAAAACTGAAGCTTGTACCAGACATGCAAGACCAGCATGCTTGTACCAGACAGTGCTCTGACAGCTTTCACTCTTCAACCTCAGACACTGGGACTGCAACTTCTAAGCTGGCTGATGGCAGGGGTGAGAAGACGCCAGGGCAGCCACAGAGTTTATGAGAAAAGGACTGCAACAGGGCAGATAGCTTGGGCAAGCACCATCAGGCAGTGGAAAACCCAGAGGGCAAACAGCTAAGTGCAGAAGGAGAAAAGAAAACCCAGACAAAACAAGGGCCCTATACAGTTCGTATTCCTTCCATATATCTGTACTTTTTTGATTCAGGTACACAAGGTCCTTATTTGAAAAGCAAATATTTTATCTGGCACTTTGTTTTTAAACAGGGAGATTTATATATGAATAGCAATTTTAACTACAAAACAGTTTAAATTAAAATTTTCAATGCATACAAAGCATTCGTTCATAAAGGTAAGTAACCTTTGCCTACAGTTCTCTTAACAGGTACAGTAAATTGTACTAAATTCTCACTCACCATAACTTTTATCAACTGAGCATACTATGAGAATGTTAGTTAGTCAAGCAATGTGTACTAATTTTAACATTCACACTGGAAGACCTTTAAAAGAAAAAATACCCCAGCTGAAGCTAAGCCTAATGCATGGCAAACACTGCATGAGCAGGCTTACTGGATTTGGAAGTCAGCTCTGCAGCTGCAAGTCATTCTGAAGCAAGAGTTAATCAAGCAATTTTGAAAAAAAAATCTGGCTAATGAAGCGTTTTTTGAAATATACAGTATGTCTAACCTGCATACTCATGCTGAAAGTAAGCATACATTCAGCAGCAGCAACACAGGAAAGAGAAAAGCTAGAAAAACACCCTTGAGAACACGTTCTTTTACTCAATAAAGTGCCAAAGAAGTCATTGTCAATAGATTTGCAGAACACATACAATATTGTTATATGCTTCCTGATTTTTCTATTTAATTCTAGCCTTAGTGTATTAATATGTCCAAAATTTGACCAACAGCAAAAGACAACCCACATTCTAGCTGCAAACCCAAAAACAAACCACGAAAAAAACAGAAAACAAAACACTTTTTTGATCAAGAGGTGAGAAGAATTGCCAAAAAAAGTACCTGGAAGTTAAGACTGGGTAGCGTGGCAAGGAAAGATGCTATTTCCAACAAGAATGTATGTGCAGAGTTTTGCAGTCCCATGAGAGCAGTCTGTGCCAACAAGTTATTCTGGTTTTACGTGCCTGTGCTTCCCACAGCCACCCTGTGCATCACATGATACGTATACTGTAGCTGATTTAGGAGTTTAAAAAGCCTTTTTAAAAGCCCTTTTTCCTAGAGCCTCTGTGTGTATTTTAATTAACAGTGCAGCTTTAATAAGGAAAAAAAAATTCAGATTAACTTCTGATGACTGCTCTTAGAGAAGCATATTTTAAAATAAGTTGGATATTAAACAGAGAAAATGACAGTTGCACAGAGTAGGGTCATGAACTTAATCTGGTATTTCACTCCTTTGCCACCATTTGTTTTCCTTGCTGGAATGTAACAACAGGTGTTGTGGTATTAAATACGCAGCCTGTATATTTCAGCTGTTGGCCATTTCAGGCCTACATCAAGTTCCTCTCTATCTACCAGGTGTCCATGCACACTCAACAGTAATACTGCACAAATTGTTTCACAGGAAATAAAGTGTATCTTAGGTCACTCCCTTTGATCAAGCAAATGCCATGCAGGTACTGTATTTTTTTGTCCAGCCTTAGAAACAGGTACCAAACTGCAGCAAGGCAAAGTGCCAAGCTCCCTAACCCAGGTGGCACTTCCAGTAAAATAATCTGGCTGTTACAATTGAATGTTTTACCAAAAGTTAAAGTGTAAAAAGAGGTATCTAATTGGTCTTACAACCATCCGGGCAAAAGGATTGTCTTCCCACAAGAAAACATTAGCCGTAGTCACAGGACCTAGAGTATAACAGAAGAGCTTCTGGCTTGAATGCAGAAGGAAAAACACTGAGACCAGTATCCCTGGAGAACTCTGAATCCATTGGAGAGTCTTAAATTTTACTGGGGCCGGGGTGTGGGGCGGGGGTTAAGAAGAAGTTTAAGATACCTGTGG